GTACAAACAAAACTAGTGATAAAGTCCACAACCTGAGGATTCGGGGTGTTGGTAGCAGTCCGGCTGAAATGATAGCTGCTCTTCTTGCAGTGGCTGATGAATTGTAGCTGAAGTGGTGATCTTTAGAAGGGTATAGTTTTCTCTGAAGATCTGGTGGCAGTTGGGCCGATCTTCTTCTGCACCGGGGCCGCCTCCGAGCTCCACCGCCGCCGCCTCACCGCGCTCCGGCCGCTTCTCTTGGGAGTCCCGCCGAAGGAGCTGCTTCTCTGGGAATCCTGCAAAGAGAGAGCAAGCTGCTCTGTCTCCCAAAAGGTACCCCTTTATACAATAAAAGAGTGCTTGGCTTCCCCCTCTGGGTGGAGCATCTCACAATGGGATGGTGTTACATTACCAGGCCTGCAGTGAGTCAGTCAATGGCCCATTAACAGACGATTACCTCATCAGAGCAAACCATTGTTCTTGGAAGAGATAACAAACCTTCCCAACCTCCAACAGATGGCAAATAGAATACAAGCTTATCTTACAAACCAGGACACCCTCCTACAGTGGGATTGGGGTCCTCATTCTCACATTCCTTGTATTTTCCTTTCATGACTTGGGCAGGGTGTCTGGAGCACTTGCTATGGAAGACTGAGGCATAAAATTAATTTAGAATCTCAGTCTTCTCCATATTCCAGGCTTATCCAGGTAGCCAGGATAGTACTCACTTCTTTATAGAAAGGGCCCACATTATCCCTAGTCATTTTTTTGTTATCAAGATACTTATAGAAGTTATTTCTATTGTCTTTGACATCTCTGTCTAGACTCAATTCTAACTGGGCTTTAGCTTGTCTTTGTTTCTACTTTCTGTAAACCTCTTTTTTTTATCTTTGAGGTGCTCAGTAGCTCTTTATCCATATATGGATACCTTTTGGCATTTTGCCTTATGTTGTTTCGTTGAGACACATAATTCCTGAGCTTGGAGGAAGAGATCCTTGAATATTAGCCAGTGCCCCTCTGCTCACAAGGGCTCTACCACAGGGGACTCTATGACATAGGTCCCCAAAGATGCCAGTCTGCTCTCCTAAGTCCAGGGAAAGTGATCTTATTTTATGTGATTTTATTATATGTATCATATATTATCAATTTATTTTATATTAAATATATTTATTGACAGTTTCTTTCCAGTACCTATTTTTAAAGATGCAAATTAAAAATTGTTAGCTTTGTGTCTGATGTGTTATAATGGAGGTTGTTTTTCTATAAAAGTCAACAGTGGTTTGAAAGTGCTTAATTCTCGAAGATAACATTTGTCATCTTTGGATGTCATTGTCAACAAATTCAATAACTTTATTGTACTTGAACACTTTCCTCAAAAAAGTAATTCACACTAAAAGAACTCAAAAAGAACTACACTGCCAACAGGAAGGCTTGTTTTGGGAAATACTGATTAGAAGATTGTTGGTTGTGAAAAAAAAATATAGCAGCCTTCCTTTCTCTCCCACATCTGAAATTTATCCTTGTTCAGCTCTCACATTTATTCAGTGGAATGAGTCATCTCACCTCATCTTAGCCTTCTGAAGCCACAATGACCACCTAAGATAATCTCCTGGCTCATTTCTCTCACTAGTGGGAGAAGGCACATCAAAGAGGCAATACACACTTCCCTGAGGAAGTATATGACTGACAGACAGGTGGTTTATGATTGATATCCATCCCCAGTGACTTCCATAAGCATCTGTGTACCTGATTTCTATAAAAAGTTTGTGCTAGGTGAAGCAGTTGTCTTGAATTAAAAAAACCCAAAGCATGGCCAATCCTTTTAACTGCTTATATTTTCTCAGTTACCAAAGTTCAGAAAGTGAGAATGAGGAGGTGTTTGCACATTGGAGGAGTGCACATCCTTTAGAGTTCTTAATAGCAGGACAGGGAGACAATGATCATTCACAGGACCTGGCACTGAGGAAGTTCCTAGGCTGATGTTTTATTGAAAATCATTCAGTAAGCCAAAGTTTGCTAAAGTTTCCAGTGCAGGACTTCCTTTGATAGGCATAAAGGAATTTAGAAATAGGAAGTGAAAACCTAAACTATTTAATTTCACTTAAAGTTGAATAATGTTGTCAAAAGTTTATCTCAACGTTCTTTCAAGTTCCATTCAAGATGAGTTGAAACAAGCTTTTTATCATACTGCTAAGGCCACTGAACTTATCATTGTTGTGTTTTCATGCTTCTAATAATAATAAAAATAACAGATTATTTAAAATGTTTAATGTTTGTATTTTTATTCAAAGGAAGAAGGATATTTCAGGAAATATGAAGAAGGCAAAGCAATTACTTGGGAAATTGCATATTAATTTTTTGGATTAAATATGCCAGTGTAGCAGTACTGTGTGTTTGCTCTTTGCACATGTTTTTATTTCCTCTGAATGTTGTGACTTGCATTTTTTTTGTATACAAAAGTAGTGACAGAAGACAGCTATCCAGCCTAATAAAAATTCATTGTATCACAGGCTACCAGTTACTCTATTTTTAGTTTCATTTTGAGTATTACTACATGAGCTGGCTTTCTAGGCTGTATCTTTTCTTCAGTGAAAACATGATATATGTATGCAGAGCCTTACATTAAGATGCAACAGACTGTGGAATGAATAATACCTGCTGACTGTTGTAAAAAGAGGTAGTGATCTTATAGGTTACTGCCTGTGTATGCTGTACCTCTCCCACCAATCCTCTCTTGGAATGTGTTTCAGGGATTTGCTATGAAAACTGCGGAGACCTGTGTCCACCCAGCTGACTGAAACTACTGCACATGAATACTTTTGGACAGTGTTAAATATCCTGTGTTAAATATCCTGATTTACAGGTTTTTTACACCTCAACAGGCAGACAGATACTGTTGTAGGGCATCTGTCAGACCCTCCATGTGCTTAGATAGTCAGCACATGCTCTCTAACTCTGATATGATTCTCAGAGTATCAGATTTATCAAGTTTGTACATTATAGTGAGATGGCAAACGCATGCCTATTTCTGTGTAGGAATTCTTTGATATGGTTCACTGCTTCTTAAACTTAGTAAGACTCTTACCAGTAATTATGGTGATTTTCCAGAGAAGAGCAAGGAATGTACTTAAGATCAGAAGGCAGGGTTTGTCTTTCAGTTCAGCACATGCTTATTTTCCAAACTTTTTGTGTGTGTATACTGAAGCCAGGTTTTATGCAGTCAGGTCTACTTCTGGTTACTATTTTGTTGATTTATAAAGTTTGTTGTTGGTTTTACTTTTTTTTTTTTTTTTTTTTTTTTTTTTTTTTTTTTTTTTTTTTTTTTTTTTTTTTTAAGCTGTTTGAGCTGGCTCTCAAATGAATGTTACCACAAATGAGTTGATCTTAGAGTTGACTGCTAAGATCATTGAGTCAACTGTTAACCCAGCACTGCCAAGCTCTCGCCCAACCATGTTCCTAAGGGCCACAGGTGAATTTGATTGAATTTCAAAATTATTTCAGCCACCTTGAAGCAGAATTTTTCAGCTAATAAAATTTCCTGGATTCCGTTCAGTCCATTTAGGATTATTAAAAAAAAAAACAGTTACATGGAATACATTAAAGGCAAACTATCACCAGGCTCTCATTTGGTACAATTAATTGGGAGTATCTGCTGTGACTCAATAAATCAATAAATAAATAGTTAGAGATAATGTATGGTAAGTCAAAAACACTGTAATTTTCTTACATGATGGTGTGAGAAACATACTACTTCTATCTTTCTAAATTATTGATCCACATAGTACTTTGCATAATCTTCAATGAAGAATGTTATTCCATGAAGCAATCATTACTCACTGTGCTATTATTGAACATGAGTTTTGAATGAGTTGCAGCATAAAGCTGCCAGCTAATTATATAAATTAAGTAAAAGTCAGAAAGACCCAAAGGTCATGTTCTTTCTGTAAAACTGACTGCTGTGGCTTGTGTACAATGTTTCTGCTAGCTAGTTAAGTGGTCATAGCTACAGATATGAAGAAACGAGGAGGCATATGAAGCAATGCTTACTGTTCAGATGTGAAAGTAGAGAGTTCTATTTAATATACATGAGATGTATGGTGGCTGCTTGATTTAATAAAAAATATAGCATTTCCTAACCTTGTATGGTATTTTCACAATAGTGTTTCTAAGTATACTCTAATAGAGTTTTGGATGTGTACATCATCATTAGGAATAACAGTCATTTGTTAACAGATACTATTCAAGAAGTTCCCTCTTATGGCTGAATTGAAATTTTCCTTTCTTAGCTCCTGTGTTAAATTTTAAGTAATTTCTATTTTCACTTATTTCAGTTTTGAGTAGGGAACAGACAGCTGATTCATGGAAGAAGTTGTCCTGCCCTGCTCTGCACTGGTATGGCCTCACCTTGAATACTATGTGCAAGATATTAAACTATTAGAAAATGTCCATAGAAGGTTCACTAGTATGATGAAAGATCTGGAGGGGAAGCCTTATAAGGAGTGACTGAGACCACATGATCTGTTCAGACTGGAAAAGAGGAGACCAAGGGGACACCTCATTGCAGTCTTCAACATTCTCTTGAGGGGAAGTGGAGGGGTGGATACTGATCTCTTCCCTCTCACAACTAGTGACAGGACTTAAGGAGTCAGAGTTCAGAAGCCTTTGGGCACTGGTCTCAGGCATATGTTGTGATTCTTTGTGTGTCCTGTAAAGGGTTAGAGGTTGGACTCAGTGACATGATGGGTCCCTTCCAACTCAGCATATCCTATCATTCTATGATTGTATGATTCTGTGATAACCCACGGAATTACATATATTTGCCTAGCATCATTGTAACTGATCTTTGAAAAGTAATTTTTGTTCATTTCATGTATCAACATGAAAAAAGCTTCAAAAAACTTGTAGACTTCCAAAAGTTCTCACCTGTCAAGGCATATGCAAGGTCTCATCCTTGGAACCGACACTCACTCTCAACCTATTTTGCTTTATACTAATCAGATTTTTGTTTTCCTTTTCTTTAGATTATGGTCTTTGTTAAAGCAATTAGAGAGAGGAGAAGCTTCGGTTGTAGATCTAAAGAAGAATTTGGAATATGCAGCAACTGTTCTTGAGTCAGTATACATTGATGAAACTAGGTGAGCTAACTACAGAGATCAGCACTCATATCTAACACCAGTTGTAATTTACATGTCAGTTGTGAAAGTTAGTTGAGCCAAGATTTATTACTCATAGACAATATGGTTTTAATCATTAGAATATCATATTCTGTGTAGAACAGATCTTCAGTCCTTCATTTAAAAGGTTAAATTTCCTGAAAAAGGGAAGGAAATCAAAACCAATTATAAATGTAATTCACTTTTTTTTCAGAGAAACATTTTCATAGTCATTGCATCCTACTTTTCCTGACACTTTCTAAATTTCTACTCAACTATTTCTTCTGAATTATGTTAAATTTTTCACTTGTATGATGTCTTTGAAATTAAAAAAAAAAAAAAATTACTCATGACAGAGGTAGACTGGTAAGACATTGCAGAGGAGTTCCCCCATCTTGGTTACATGCCATTTTCCCAGTGCTTAATGCACTTTTGGAATCAACACAGATGACCAGAATGGGAGAGGAGAGGACTGTATGTTACTAGCTCAGAGGCTAGAAATTCCTAGAAATGACCATAAATTACCTCTGAAAGGCAGAAAGTTCAGAAATATTGATGAGCTGAAGATGTAAAGTCAGTAGATGATCATGTAGTTGTGCTTCAGAAGGCTGATACTTCTTGTTTCTCAGCTTCGTAGTGAGTTCCACAATCTGAAATGTAAGTACGTAAGAGAATAAACAAACCATTGAAGACTTGTACTAGTGTGTTTTATTAGGGCTGATGTATCAAAGACTTTTAACAGCTGCTTTAATTAGAATATATGTGAGTTTCTTTTTTAATAATCTTGTAGTGCTCTCTAAGGAACTCTGTTTGCCCTTCTGTTTCCTCATCCTTCTAGGCGTTTACTGGACACAGAAGATGACCTCAGTGATATCCAGTCTGACTCTCTGCCCTCAGAGGTCCGTGACTGGTTGGCTTCTACCTTCACACGGCAAATGGGGATGATGCTCAAAAGGACTGAGGAAAAACCCCGCTTCAGGAGTATTGTCCATGCAGTGCAAGCTGGGATATTTGTGGAAAGGTTAAGTGTCATTAAATTACTTTATTCTACCTACTATCTACCCAGGTGCTGCAGATTTCACCTATAGTATGTGATGACACAGTGACAGGAGGTGGAGAAGAGTACCTTAGACCAGAAGACTTCAGAGGACTAGTAGAAGACTGCTGAATGAAGAACATTTTAATGTGCTTCTGTTAATGTTTCTACACGGATATGGATAACACCTAAAAACCTGGGATTTAGTAAAAGATTGCAAACTGAAACAGCACCTACTCCTCTGTTCTTACTATAGTACAGATGTAATAGCACAATCAGTATAATTCTGATGGACAATATACACTTCTGTATAGTCCTAGGTCAGGAGTGACAGCATTTAAAATTTGGACAGATTAAACTCTCCCTTGCTTCCATTTACTTCCGTGGTCTAGTATTTCTTACAAAGTTCTAAGAAAAAAAACAAAGTCCTTTACCATATTATTACTGGAGCTAACTATAGATCAAAATTCATGTGAAAATTTTGGAGCTCAGAGAGGATTTCAAAAAGCCATTGAGTCCTCTCAGACTTCCCTCTTGTGATTTACATCACAACATGTTGCTAAAACTGATTTTACTTTTTTAACCCTTTAAAACATTCATTCATTTCAATTTGGACTCACTTCCACTCTTCACTGACCTTCTTTGTTTAAGCCAGAAGGAGGGCTGGAACATGTGAAGCTGTCAGCATTCTTTGGACGGCCTGAAGAACAGCAGCTCTCAGATCTCTGGTGTAATTTTATAACAATTTCAAAAACTTGTACATACTTTATAATTTGTTTAAAATATACTTTATAATCAAGTTTAAAATTTGGTACAGTGCATACTTTGTTTAATATGGTTAAAGATGTTGATTATTGCCTTGTTCTTTTTCTCTCACTCCCTGAAACACACGCACATGGCAAACACCTAAAAGGTTTTATACTAATCTTGAAAACATGCAGACAAAAGTAGCAGCTGTATCACACTGGCATTGATTAATTTCATACAAATGGTTTCTGAAGTACACTCAGAATTAGCTTGCATGTGGACCAGCAAGGACTAAGGGAATTGAAAGGTCAGTTATAGTTATGTGCAATGGAAAATGGGGAATATTTTGTTTAGTCGAGTGTAGCCTTTCCATTTGATGAAGACTTGGTACTGGCAAATTCTTTGTCATGTTCAGCTCAGTAACCAAGCTATGAGATACTGGGGAGTGTACAATCTCAAAGTAAGCTATACAATAAGAATAGTATCAAGAATATTCGGCAAGTTAGGAACAAAATGGAAGGAAAAAAGGTCCATATTCCAGTTAGGGTTTTCTGGGCTAAATGAAGTATCCTGTAATGGTCTGTTGTTTTATGAGTATTGTTGATTTTTTGTTTTGTTTCATTTAATTCTATTTATGTGTTGCTTTATCTATCTCATCTTGGTAGAATGTACAGGCGTACTTCAAATATGGTCGGCTTGAGCTACCCACCAGCTGTAATTGAAGTGCTAAAGGTAATCCAAATAAAATGTGGTGAAGGGGGGTCTGTACAAAGCATCAAAATAAAACTGTGATATTTGACATGATAAGGGGGGTCTTAATAGTTGGTCTTTTTTTCTCTCTGACATTCAGTTAGTTCACATACATTAATCTTTTAACTGGCCTAAGGGATTACCCTTTCAATAAAAGAAAGAGTGAAGTTCAAGACTGTGGTCATTTTCAGGTTGTGAAGGTTGCAATATAGTTATTAAAATGAAGATTTAGGAATCACTCACAACATTTCACAAGGAAGAAAGAAAACACAGATGGAGAGAGATGGAGAAGGGAAAGGATCTGTTGCTGTGAGAGAAGGAAATTTCTTGCATTGTTCAGCTTCAGGTATTAAAAGTGACAATCACTTTATGAAAATGGACCCTTCTGTGAGTTTTGAGGTTTCAGAGTGAAAACAGTTAGTCAGAAGTAGTCTGAAAAATAAACAATGGTTCAATCCATGGGGAATTGCAAGATTCTTGACTT